CAGTAATAAAATAAAGTACGCACCCAGCATTTTTGTAACATATGGTTCAATGTCGATATCCTGAAGGTGTGCATAAGTGCGAGCATGATAAAGACGAAGCGTTGAATCAAGCCGAATGGAGATCCAGACGCCGTCACCAATCCAATGCATATGTCGCACTTGACTATCCCGTCGTGGATGCGCCGCAAAAACCTTCTAAACTGGCCACCTAAGTGCTTTTTAAGCAAAACCGAACTCTGATGCAAAGGGTTAAAAAGCAAAGTGAAGCTGGTACCTTGACAGTGAGATCATTGGGATCGATAACGATGATGCAGTTGCGATAGGCGGCCCAAATATATTTGCCCACTATGGAAAGAGACCTAACAGAGCTCGTAGCACGGCCAACAGTCATGCAGTGATAACCTGCTTCAGACCAGCCACCACCTATACGAAAAACAATTGTCACTCAATTAGCACTTTGATCTGGTAATCAGTAAATTAAAAAAAAAAAAAAAATAACTGAAACAGACCTGTATTACGATGAAAAATTGCAATAGAACCATTGGCCAGAGCAGCAAAAACGCGTCCTTTGTAATGACTAAAAATAATTATCTCACACAGCAGTGCATATAACATGGTATAAAATCTTGTTACTCACAGTACACACACACATACACACACATGCATGTCAAAATTCTTCTTTGCCCAGCATCAGTGTATAAAGCCCACGTTGATAATGTGATATTAAAAGACAAACAGATAGCCCACCGACATAAATACGTAAACACTAAATAAGGAAAAGTCAGCTAACATTTGAAGAATGTATAATACCATATCAAGCAAACAAACACTTACATGATTGATAAAACAGCGTCAGGCATTTTGATACGCCTCAAACACTTTCGCCATTCGGACACTGCCGAATGCACAAAGATGCTGGAAAGATGAGTTATTTTCATGCAAACAGCGCATTGGAGCCTACAAATCGATATAAAGAAAAAAAAAAATAAATGGCCAGGCACCAACTGCCGGTGCAAAGTTGTATTTTCTGCACAGTTCCCCGCAGATTTTGTCGCTAACGGCACTTTTTCCCGACAGATGTTTCTAGCTAAAAGAATTGTGACTGGCCAATACGACCGTGAGAAAACATTCCCTTAAAATTTTCAACCTTCTAGCTTTTCAGGCCTCCAAGTTAGCAACTTACCCGCAGAAAATTTTCAAAGGCCCGTACGTGGGAATCATGCAAATCTGGGGACTGGGTTTGAAATCGTTAATTCCTACGTGGATGGGGAATACTCCCCTAAAATCACAGCCTTCTAGCTTTTCAGGTTACCGAGTTAGCAACTTATCCAAAAAAATTTCACGGGGCCGTAAGTGGAATCACGTGGGCAAGAGGACCCGTTTTGGCGATAGGGATTCGTACATGCATGTACATTAAGCCCGCAAAGCTTCAACCTTATAGCTTTTGTAGGTCTCGAGATGAATAAATAGCAACGCGCACCAGACTAATCGGCGTGATCACGCGTTTTGTGCAATTCAGCCCATCGAAGGATTACCTATTAATGATTTCCACTGCTTTGTACTTTTGTCTATGCAAAAATAGTTCAAACATTGGAAAGTAGTTAAAAATTTCACGCACCAGCGCACGAGAGCTGAATTCGAAACCTTGAACGGTGAATATCTTTCCCTGATTCCCGAGTTAATAGTTTGACCGCCAAAATTCCCACGAGGCCGTAGGTGATACTCAACAGCGAGGAGACGCTGAATTTGAATAGGCAAGGCTGAGCGTGAGCAAGAGGTTATTACCCTAAAATTTCAGCTTTCTAGACTCCGTGGTTCCTGAGATAATTTACCCGCGAAAAAATTTCACGCAGCCGCACGTGTTACCCGCGGGTATGGGAAGGCTGGTTTTGAATAGGCAAAGTTGAGCGTGGGCAGGGGGTCATTACCTCAAAATTCCAGCCTCCTAGACTCCGCCTTCCAGAGATAATTTCAGCCTTCCTGAGATATTAACTTACCTGTAAAAAACTTTCACGAGGCCGTACGTGTTACCCGCGGGTACGGGAAGGCTGAATTTAAATTTGCCGCGTCAACCGTTGGCGGGGGTTACTACACCAAAATTTCAGCCGCCTAGCTTTTGTGGTTGCCGAGTTGGAAGTGCGGGACAAAATGTGGGACACACACACACACACACAGACAACCCCGTGACAATATGCGTTTT